GATGTCCTATATGTATTTACACTGTACTGTATTTACACGTTTCGCCCGCACGATACACAGTCAATTCACTTTTCAACATATTCTATGAAGCGCTTTGAGATGTGTCAACAACGTGATAAGGCACTATATCAAATGCAAGGATTATTATTAATATTATTATTACACTCATGCAATTGCTATTTGGCTTCCCTTCTATTACTGTACCCACCAGGGCCGGAAGATACCATCTAAAAATTGAGGTTTGCGAATCAATTTACGCACTGAATTCTGCTCTTCACAGCTGAACTTTCTGAGCTTGATTAAACTTGATTAGATCATGTGGCTTTTTGGCTTCCTTTAGAGAGTGAAGTACTTATTGTTGTAGGTTCACTGTCATTTTCTGATATTTTTCTATTAAAGGTAACAGGCATTTATTACAAATAGCTTTTAGGAATGTTGGACGTGCTTGCGATTTCACTTGTGCAACTGGCTTTTCATTCCTTTTGTGTGTAAAGAACAATGCCGGTGCTCACGGTGCTTAATCATTCCCACTTGCCACTTGTTGAATCATTCAGAACAGTAGACAGTAAACCTCTGGCTTCAGATAAAGACTCCATTAAAAGGGTATTGTCATCCCACTAGGGAGGGTTCGAAGGTGATCAATTATGTTGAGAAAAGCTAAGTTGTTACCAATGGCAACACCATTGTTCAAAGCCTGCTATCCTCTCAGGTAAATTCAATATTTTATGAAGAGTTTTAACTCTGTGCTCTTCATACCGAAGATTCTTTGTGCAGCTGAATCGTTTTAACCCTCAGTGTACTGTGAAATGGTCAGATACAGGGTGAATCAGAAGTCCCTACTTACTCACAGAGGTTTTAGTTATTAATTATGTTCTTTTGTTTAAGGCAATATTCGTAGAGAGTGTGCAGCTATTACAGGAGGTGTTTTTCATTGGGTGCATGAATGTTTTTGTCACAGAGTTGATATGTGTTGATATGCGGTTTGAACATCTCAGATAGACCCAAGACTGTGGACTTTTGTTTCACCAAGTATATTTCATTATCTACAGTGGAAAAAGGAAATGTAATTAAAAAGTTAAAAATAATATAATAGATTTATATTAAAAATTCAGAGGAAAGTGAATTATAGGAGTACCTATAATAATAAACAGTAAACCTTGCAATTAATATAATGCTTCATCACATCTTTGAAATGTCTTGAAGCACTTCACAAGATATACTGTAAAGTGGTGATGTGACTGTATTTTGATGGTGAGCAGTCATAGAAAAAACAAAGCATATTCAGCGTAAAAAATTACAAAAGGAGGAATTTTACAAAAAAAATCTTAAAATTATTATGTGCATTTATTGGGTTAAAAAAAACTTCTGATCAGTGTTACACCCTACACATAGAGCCTTTAGCGATGCACAGCTATCATGCGAAAATTCCATCAGTGGCAGAGATCGCCAACGGTGACAAATGTATCACTGAAGAGAATTTTTACCACGTGTGCACATTAAATTAATGCAAATAAATAAACCTTGTCTTTCACTGAACTCTGTGGCACAAATCATCCTGCATGAAGTATCCTTACCGTATATTTATCACTGAGCTGCAGTTCATGACACAGTGGCAATTTCAGCAATTACAATAATAACTGCTATTTTCAATTGTCCCCATGCTAGTAAAATAGCTTAAGCAAAATAAATAAAGTAAGTAAAGTAATAACCCTATCTGTTACGAAAGAGAGGTTGTTAAAAGGGATATGGGGATAAGACAGGGGGTGGGTTCAATTGGTCTCTTTATGGACTCAATGGGCCGAATGGGTGAATGATTTCCTGCGCTATAGATTTCTAATTGTCTATCAGGGAAAGAATCTCATTTGAATAAGTTAAACTGGTATTTCTTACATTGTTTGGACACTATTAGGTGTTTATTCGGTTAAATAGCAGGAAAGTAGTGGAAATAGTGTCCAAGCCTCAGCCATCAATCAAATTAGAAATAGGACTTGAGGTGTAAGCAGAAACTTGATAATTTCTTTCACTCAATTGTAAAGCATCCTTTATCCCCCACGTGACACAATATTTGGCACATAATATCTTATATTAGCGCTATAATTAAAGGTTAATCGCTTTAAAATTGCAGCTTCTAATTTAATTGTATCATTATATATTCTTCATTTAAAAGGGCAATTATAATATTAAGATCATTTTATATCTCACGGCGTGTAAGTTTGTTTTATTACAAGTGTAGAATGTCTACTTATTTTTCTCATTTTTGTCCCAAATGGTATGTGTCTCCCTGCTTCTGTTCTAGACTCTTGCTGGGTGCAGTTGCATGGAGACAACTTGCCCTCTGATACCCCACCCAAGTTCCCATTGTTCATGTGTGAGGGTGAGCAGTGTAGTCTCCCCATGCATCCCTGGCTAAGACCAGCAAACTCAGCATGCACCATTTAAACCGTCGAGTCTATAAGCTGCAGCTCTATCCACTACACTGTACTTTACGTCAGCCTGGTTCAGTGGTTGTGGTTTCGACTTTGAGCCAGAAGGTTGTGCGCTCAAGCCCCAAGTCGGCACCTATTTCTCCGACCCACTTAGGATTGGAGAGTAAGCAGGTCGGAGAAGTAGGGAGGTGCCAGGGATTTGAAGACGAGTGCGAGGATCTTGAAATCGATCTGTTCGGTGATAGGGAGGCAATGGAGCCTGTCAAGAACTGGTGTTTTGGGGGTACGATTTATTCAGCAACTCCGCAATAAACTTTCCATTTTCAGAGGAGTGAAAATAAACAGATTGATAGCTGAGGTTTGGACACTATTTCTACCACTTTCCTGCTAAAGTAGTTAGATATAATCACACTTGATATGAGTATCTGAGTATACGTCTCAGTGGCCTTCAGTTAAACATAGAGATAAATCAGCATTGAACACTGCTCCCTTTGTGCAGGTCTTGTGTAAAGGTTGTTCACTTAGAAAGAGCAAATTTATAAACAAAATCCCAGGTTCTGATGTTCTACTGTGTGCTGGATGTGCTGAAGCAAATAAGAGTTTCATAGTCCCACCCAGATGCATGTGTTCTGCAATATTTCAGGACATATTCACAAAGCGTGAAATGATACCGGGCCAACTTCCAAGCAAAGCTGGTTTAGGTAATGAAGCAGTGGCAACAATAATGTTTACTGAGAATTGGATATTGGGATCACTCTAAAGAATGAACAAAAGTATTAATATAATCACATAACAATATAATAACATAATCCATTTCATTTTGCTGAATCTAATACTTCTGCACAGAATATGATGCATTCTTGAGTGTTTGAGTACAACCCTTCTATATATTATTTGTATTACTGGATATACCAGTAAGCAAGGAGTCTCATGTGGATTGTAACAGTGGGACAGACTGGTTGAGTTGGATGGCTTGTTTCCGTGCTCTATAGTCTATGTATATCTATGCAATAGACATGTATGTACTATAACATAATGATCTGTTTTTCTGGAGTATAACTTGTGTGTAATTTTATTAATAATACATTGTAAATATGGAATAATACATCTATTAAAAAAATCTAAGAAGTGAAACAGGAAATCCAATTTCATTTAGAAATCAAAACTGGAGGTCTGTTGTGGTCACAGGTTAAAGTTACTGTGTTGTAGGAACGACTGTGGAGTTTTGGAAAGAGAAGGCAACAAGCGCAATGTGATTTCCAAACACCTACTTTCCAAACACTTTCCTTTCTCCATAGATTCTGCCTGACCTGCTGAGTTTTCCCAGCTCTCTCTGTTTTTGTTTCAGATTTCCAGCATCTGCAGTATTTTGCATTTTAGCCCAGTGTGATTGGCGTCTGTTGTGTTTATAATATGAGGGATGAAATCACTTTCTTCCTTCATTCGCAATGCCTGAAGATCCGAAACACACACAAAATAACCAACTCTGCTATTGTTTCTTCAGCCAACCTGGCATGAGGCAACATGGAACTGAGAAAAATAGTCTGCAGTCAGTAATTTATTAGTACTGTTATTGTCTCCAGTGTTGGGAAGTCTGTTTGTTGGAGCATAAAATGAATTACCATTTCATTAATAAACCTCAAAGCCGTTAGGAATGCAGTTGATGTCTCCCACTTTCTTGGTTGAATGCCATTAACTGCTGGTTGATGTATGGTCAAAGGTAGGAGAGTCACCCACTATTGAAGCTCATTATCACATGCATGAATATGCAATAGTCACTTGGTTGGAATATTATTTTCAAAGACCATTTAATGCAGTGGTGTGTGCTAATTACTAATTATGCCAGCAGTTTTCCATTATTTTGCCCACACACTCACATACCTACTTATATTCCACTCAAATAGAATGGGTAATTCAAATAGAAATTCAGCAGTTCTCTTGTAACAGCCATGTAACAGTTCATGGTATTGATGGCATTTTTTTTGGATAAAATTTTCATATTTATATAAAAAAAACTTTATTCGGTCAAAAGTAAGTCATTCATTGACAGCAATCATGAAAACAACATAGGTTAAAGTACGCGCCATGGTGAGATATTCTCAATGAGCCTGGCTTAGTTGATATAATTCGCACTTCTGGTTCAGAAGGTTGTTGGTTTGAGCCCTACATTATGGCTTTGAGCTCACAGTCCAGGCTCATTTCCAATGCAATGCAATGCATTGCAGAGATGCTGTCCTTCAGATGAGATGTTAAACCTTATTCAGGCGGACATTGAAGAACCCATGGTCCTACAGTTTAGGGATTGGAAATGAGGTCACTGATGGGCATCTGTACATTTCCAGATCCTATCCCTGATCCCATTTCTTTTTCCTATGACCCTCTCAACTCAAATGTCAATGACTCACTCATCGCTTTGATCTGCTGATGTTACTGATATTCTTAGAACTATTACAGCAAGTGATATGATTGCATAGTTGCTCTAGTCCTTCTGAAACATGGTGGATCTGTATCCTGGCTCTGTATTTTAAATAGCTGATTGCTGATCTATACAAATCTATTCTTTTTTCTTTACAGTTCGACCGGACGGAAGTTATAAAAAGTAATCTGCATCCAGTCTTCTCGAAAATCTTTAATTTGGATTATTATTTCGAGGAGGTTCAGAAGCTCAGGTTTGAGGTCTATGACATTCACGGTCACTGCAGCATTGGTACCCGTGATGACGACTTTCTGGGGGGGATGGAATGTACCCTGGGACAGGTAATTGCCAAAGACACAATTCCATGAAATAATTTTTACGACGTATAATTCTGTGTTTTTTTCTAAAATCGATTTCTTGCCTGGTTCCTTTATTCTCCCTCACGAGAGTCATTTGCACAATGAAATGCTCACAGCCAGCAGGCAGACTGCGTGGGTCGTGGCAACTCAAAACTATTGTTACTGTGTGCAGATATAAAGTAAAGTTGAGAGACTTTAATAATAAACAATGTGGGTGTCCAAGACGTTGGTGATTCAGAGTGTTTGTTGCACTCTATTGCCAAAGCAAAGGTAATTGAAGACTCCATAGCCTTGGACATCCATATCCAGTGAGTTTACATCAGGAGAAATGAGATAAGTGAAATGGGATGATTGTTTTTCCTCATGCTACCATTTGGAAGAAGCATTGGTTACCTTAGTCTGGTTTCCTCAAACAGGAAATGTGACTGATTTTCTCCACTAACCCTCCCACACCCCTCCTCACGCCCTCACTCCTCCAACCACCAACCTCAGCACTAAGACAACCAAAAATAAAAATGCCTTGGTTTATATCTGTTTGTTTGGCATAGACCAGGGTTGAACTTACAATCTTCTGCTCTGGATGACTTGATTTCACACTGTGTAGTGCCTTTTCCCACCAAGTCATTGGGTGAGTCAAGGGATGACAAACAAACAGTTTTACTGATGGATATTAAGAGTGTACCTAAAAACCTTTCTCTGGTAAAAAAAAGTTGATACAGTGGTAAGTAATAATGAATATATTTCACAATTTCACATATTGCACATTTTCACAAGTTCAGGCTGTTAGCTTCAAATCATGAGATGTACAAAGATTTAAAAAATGTTGCAGGACTTGTAAAAACTCTCTAAATTCACTGTAATGTTGCAGTTCAGATCAACGATGATTCCCAAACCCAAGGACTTCATTGCAACTCTCCTCACTAATCTGCCATTAAATAATCTAAACTGCTGCTGAATAATGGCTTTTCTCTATTCAGTCAAAAATGAAGGACAATTAGAAACAAAACTAAGTCTTTCATACTCTTTTAGCAGAAATATACTATTCATTTGGTTTGTTTTCCAATTTCACTTTTGTCTGTTATAATTTCATGCTTTGCAGATTGTAGCTCAAAAGAAGATGACAAAGCCTTTGTTCCTAAAATATGGCAAATATGCTGGAAAATCTACAATTACGGTGAGTTAATGCGATTTACAACTGGGATGAATGATCATAGATAAATAAATAATTAGTCAGAAATTAGAAAGCTTAATAATAATCCTTGCATTTGATATAGTGCCTTATCATGTAGTTGAGACGTCTCAACGCTCTTCACAGAATATAATGTAAAGTGGTTACATAGAAACATAGAAACAGGAGTAGGCCATTCAGCTCCTCGAGCCTGTTCCACCATTCTATAAAATCATGGTTGATCTGTACCTCAAGTCCAATTGCCTACCATTGCTCTGTATCCCTTAATACCCTGACCTAACAAATATCTGTCTACCCCTGTCTTGAAGATGTGACTGGTTCCAGGATCCAAAGCCTTTTGGGGAGAGAGTTCCAGATGTCCACTACCCTTTGGATGAAAAGTTTTACCATGTGTTTTGTGGGCGAAATGTACCCAACACTTAAGGGGAAGCTAATAAATCAAGTTACAATAATCCCGAAAAAGCAAAATTCATGGTTAGTTCATGGCTACCGGGAAAAAAACAGATTAAGTTAGGAAGCATGCATCCTGTGTGAATTTTATTCTCATCTGCCTCTCTTCCATACCTAGGGCAGATAATTTAATGAAAGTGCTTTTAATTAAAGCGATTCTTTGGATGCTGTGAAATCGATTTTGTGTGGCTGTGTTTTGGTATTCTGAACTATTCCATTTATCCGATCGCTCAAAGCGGTGTTCAAAGCAGTGCTTCCAATTACAGCTCGTTGTTCAATTTCTTCATTATTTTGTAAACTAAAACCAAAGTGTTCATTTGGGTTTAGCAAGCACTGAGCCCCCAGGATGTTTGCTTTGTGTTGGCGTTTGTTTTCAATTCAGGCTGATAACCTGCAGAAGGAGAACTTGAAGACATCTGATTTCTCGGATCTGTATGAATCAAGCTTAAAAACACAGCGTCTTCAAGTGTGTCGTTCGCTGTTCCTGAATTTTAGCTTTTTTCCAACATTTCAGTGAAGTGGCAGTAAATTCTGAATAATATAGTGACAAGCAAGGATGATATATTACTGGCAGGTCTAGCCATGAGTTTTATTTGGAGGATTATTGTAATTTGATTTATTAGCTTGCCCTTAAATGTGGGCATTTCGCCCACAAAACACATGGTCAAAACTTTTCACCCAAAGGGTAGTAGACATCTGGAACTCTCCCCCCAAAAGGTTTTGGATTTTAGAACCAGTCACATCTTCAAGACGGGGGTCGACAGATATTTGTTAGGTCAGGGTATTAAGGGATACAGGGCAATGGTAGGTAATTGGACTTGAGGTACAGATCAACCATGATTTTATAGAATGGCGGAACAGGTTCGAGGGGCTGAATGGCCTACTCCTGTTTCTATGACTGCAAAGGACTATTGTAAGGACTATTTCCCTATTTTGTTCACAGATTATTGCAGAGGAAATAACTGGAAACAATGGATATGTGGAACTGGCATTTTGTGGCAAAAAGCTGGATGATAAGGTATATCAGATGCCTAGGCAGTGTGCTCATCAGAACGTATTAAGTGAATCTTTTATATCCCGGATCTTCTGAACTTTGATTACTTTGTTTAGTTGTTCGACCCAGATCATATCAATCTCTGTGAGATTTGACAAGGAAGGTTATCTTTGAAGAGAGTGCTTCCTTTGGTGAACATGGTAAAGCTGAACAGGGGTTAGAATAATCTCTGCAAAGATTATTTTCCGCCACCTAGATTTTGTTTTAGAAAAATTGCTATCGACTGAAAAAATTAGAATATTTTCTCCACACAGAATATTGTTTATTTTGGAAATAGGACATAGACATATCCACAGATTGCCACAGTATTAGAACCCACAGGTGTGTTAGTTTGTCTGGTGGAAATGGTCACATTCCAGGAAAGCTCAGAATAGCAAAAAAATAACACTTGTGTCTAGGCAAAGCTTAGTAACATGTTACGTTTCTTCCATATTGTTGCAGGACCTTTTCAGTAAATCGGATCCTTTCTTGGAAATATATAGGATCAACGATGATGACTCTGATCAGCTTGTCTACAGGACAGAGGTAGGGAAACGATTGGTGGAAGATGGATGGCTATGAACATGACCTGCAGTGGACAGAAGTAAAACTTGTGTATTACACCACAGTGTTTACACTGCGAGATGAACAGGAAAGAATCGTTTAAAATGTATTCAATACATACATTCAAAATCACATTGCCATGTTATTGGTGGTGTAATCCATTTAGACATAAAAATAATACACAATATTTATTCTGGCCTTTCATACACTGTATTGTCCTGTAGCTCTTCAAATCAAGGTGGAGGGATTTTGGTGGATCTGAGGGGAGAGGGTGGAATGAAAGAGCTAAGGGGTGGCAGAGTGAAGAGTATAATGATTAAGTAACTCGTTTATTCTCTACTTCTAAGAATACAATACTCCAACCATAAACCCACAACCCCAGTTACATTCCTTCTTATAGTTCCTGCTCGTATCTCATCGGTTATTCTCCAACTCCATTTACTTTTAAAGGGATATCCAACAGACGGATGGGTAGAGGAGTAAGATCACAGAGCTGGGTTGTGCAACAACATGAAAGTATTAGAAGTTGATCCACGGGAATGGATAGTGAAACAATGGAGCTGGGCTGACAGAGCATGGTGTAGAGTTGAGGTGGGCTGTGAAGTTCTGTGTGATCTGGAGGTTATGGAGGGGAAGTAGGTGAGCAAGGCATTGGAGAAGTCAAGTATAGAGGTGGACAGGAGGCAGGTAACTTTGGTCCTGTGAAAAGAGGTTTCTTTTTATTGGAGACTCTCACCTAGTCTGACCACTTTCCAAATCTCTTGCTTAACATTAGGAAACAAACTTACTAAAATAAAAATGTATAGGACGGAGCATTGCACGAAACACTCAATAAATTATATGTATGGAACCCAAGAAGAAAGATGTTACTGTGCAGTCTTTTGTCAAGACCATTCAGATGTTAACAATAATTTGAGATCTCAGACGTTTTAATAAGCTTGTCACTCACTGACACACCGTAATGGGAGGGACTGAACATTGATTTAACAGCTGGGTTAGTAATTAAAATCCTTTAATTCCCCATTTATGGTATTTTAGTTGCTAAGGCTCATGAACAAATTCTATTGCAAGTCTTAAAAAAAAGCTACTAAAATCATTCCATATGGAAATCCTCATTGAAACTGTCAACGACAGCACTAAGTGATTTCTGAACTGATCATTAAAGCTTTTCGATGTGAAGAGTTATGCAGCATGCAATTTGTGTCTATTTAGAATATGCAATTACATACATTTCGAAGATAATTTCAAACCAAATCCAAGTGTGCAATGCTGTGCTTAGCTTTTAAAGGGAAGAGTAGAAGTAGATCTTGAAACTCACTATTATAGTGGAGCAAGTGAGAATTGAACAACCGACCAGTGTTACAAGCAGTGAGTGAGCTTTCAGTCTGCAATACAGCACTAAGCAGTTATTAAGCAGCCCATTATCACAACTATTTGTGGCACCTCCTTCTGACATGAAAGGCGTGATGCATATGTAATTTGTTGTTGTTGTTGTGGTGCGCAATTTGGCTGTTGCGTTCATCCGCAAAGCACAAAGCCACTCTAATTTCCAGTATTTCCTGTAAAGCACTTTGAGACGACTTGCGGATGTGAAAGGAGCCATATACCGAATGTAAGGATTATTATTATTTTTATTCATTATTATCCTTCTGTTGTTTCCTTTTTCAGGTTATCAAGAACAACTTGAATCCAGTGTGGGACCCCTTTAAAGTGTCCCTGAGCTCACTTTGTAGCTGTGAAGAAAAGAGAAAGCTAAAGGTATATTAAGAACCGAAACTCATTTCTAATGCATCATTACAACCTACAATTATATAATGCCTCTCAAATAGGAAAACCTGTCATCGCACTTCACAGAGCTGGACTGGAAACCAAGGTAGAGTGGGAGATAGGGAGGGTAGGAGGGAGGTGGCTGCAAGTGCAAGGTAGGAATTTAAAGGGTTTTTGAAAGCTGAGAGATAGACAATGGGAAACAGAGAGACAGAGGGATTTAGGGAGAGTGTTCAGTAGAAGGAACTCTTGTGGTAAGAATGATGGATGAAGAGTAAAGGAATGAGAAAAAGAAAACAAGAAGAGCAAAGGCAAAGAGAGGAATGGGAGCGAGAAGCAATTTCAAGCAATTAGGAAGGCGAACGGTATGTTAGCATTCATTATGAAAGGATTAGAGTATAAGAGTAGGGAAGTCTTGCTGCAACTGTATAGGGCCCTGGTGAGACCACACCTGGAATACTGCGTGCAGTTTTGGTCTCCTTATTTAAGGAAGGATGTACTTGCCTTGGGAGGGGGTGCAGATTAGATTTACTAGGTTAGTATCAGGGATGAAGGGGATGAGTTACGAGGATAGGCTGACCAATTTGGGCCTATAATCCCTAGAATATAGAAGAATTAGAGGGGATCTTCTAGAAACCTATAAGATCATCAAAGGGCATGATAGAGTAGATAGTGGTAGATTGTTTCCCCTGGTTGGAGAAACTAAAATCAGGGGTCACAACCTTAAAATCAGAGGCCAGCCCTTTCGCACTGAGTTGAGGAAGAACTTCTTCACTCAAAGTGTGGTGAACGTATGGAACTCGCTACCCCAAAGGGCTGTTGACGCTCAGTCCTTGAACATATTCAAGACTGAGATAGATAGATTTCTTATTGCAAAAAGGGATTAAGGGATATGGGGATAAGGCAGGGTTATGGTATTAGCTGGAGTTAGATTAGAAGATCAGCCATGATTGAATGGCGGGACAGGCTCGAAGGGCTGAATGGCCTACTCCTGCTCCTACATGTTATGTTATGTTATGTTATGCTATGTTATGTTAAGTGAAAGATGAGATTCGGAGAAAGAGGAAAGAGACAAGAAACTCGGAAATTCAAGAAAAACTACATTTTTGGGTTAAAAATATTAACTTTGTCAAGAGCGGAATCAATTGTAATACAAAATGGAAAGTGATGCATTAATACAGTTACTTGCAAAGAATTTATGTTTCTCTGTGTTGCCAGTGTTTGGTTTGCCGAAGTGTAAGCTTGAGTTTCACTGTGTTGTAAAAAGGTTAATCTGTTTTGCGTAGCTTCCCACTGATGACAATGCTTCTTTCGAGGGATGCATTGAGAGAATGTGACTAGCTGGACAAACTATTAACGTAGTTTCACGACTACTGAGAATTAGCTGTCACTAAATGTACTTAATAGCAATTAAAGGGTATAGACAGTGTTGACTTCTCCATCCCATGGGATAGAAACTACTGACTAACACATTGTAGAGGATTCACTGAGAACTGACAAAACCCATTACATGGAAGACTGTCAGAATGAAATGTTAGCACAGTCCTGAGACCCAGGTCTGTGAGTGTTGGATTGTAAATACAGATGTTCGACAGCTGCAGAAGAAGCATTGACATCTGTGTGAAAGACATGATTGGTCACTAGGGAGATTAATTATGTCTCAGTGTTCTGTCTGAAACTCCATTTTGGTAAACAACCCTCTTAAGCATAAACCCAGGACTTAGAGTTCAGCAGCTGAAAGGTCATTGTTCCAAGTCACTGCATAATAAAACTCAGAATGACAATTACGATTGTTAGCAGAGATGTTAATTGTTGTTTTGATTAAGACTCTCCCCAGATGCTTTACAATATAATTCATTTATGACTGAAATATAGACCTGCAGAAATTAATGCCCATTTTCAAAATTACCTCAGTTTCGCGCTTTACTCCCGTATTAATGCTCCTCACCCGTGTCACATGGCATTGCCAATATCAGCCTGGTTCAGTTGGTGGCATTCTCGCCTCTGAATCAGACGCTAATGAGTATACGCCCCTTATTGGGACTTTGAGCTCAGAGTCAATGCTGACACTCTAGTGGAATTCTGGAGGAGTGCTGCATTATCAGAGGAACTGTCTTTTGGATGAAATATTAAACTGAGGTCCCACCTGCCTGTTCTGGTGGACTATTTGAAGAGAGAACAGAGTTAGCATTTACTTTTAATACATTTTCTGTTTTCCAGTGTTTAATCTGGGATTATGATTCTCGTGGAAAACATGACTTCATCGGGGAGTTTTACACAAACTTTGAAGAAATGCGGAAAGCGATGGGAGACAATAAGGTACTGGATCAGGGCAGTTTCTCAGAGCAGAAACTTGTTTCTGTAATTGATGGAATGTACGATGATATTTAATCTCTGCGGTGACAGTACAGTTTAATGCACAGTGGCTTGACAAAATATATTTGTTTGAATGCATGATCAAAATGTCCGGCAACAGTTGCCTGTCTGCATCAAGGCAATTAACTGCGTTTCGCCCACAAATATACAGTTAATTCACTTTACAGTATATTCTGTGAAATGTTTTGAGACGTCTAGAAGACGTGATATCAAATGCTGTATCAAATACAAAGATTATTATTAATATTATTATTATTAGTATTAAGCCACATTACCTTAGACAGCACAAAGTCTTAGGCTAAAGTGCTGACCACAAACCTCCCTTTACCTCATCTGTATACAATCACAGCGTTCACATTCAACTGGTGGTAACATTCAAAATATGTTGTTCCACGTCACTGACCAGCAGCACATGTACGTTTCACTACATTTATCCTCACTTTTAAAACTGAAGTCACCAAAGCAACTGATGTTTCTATATAATTATAGTTCCCTCCCACGCCTCCCCCCAATTTTCACCCTCTTTTCCCCTTCACCTTTCTTGGAGGGAAATTGCGGTGTGCAAATTGGCTGCAGGGTTCGCCTACAAATTATAGTCCCTTCACTTTCAGTAAATCCTGTCAAGCGTGAGCTTTGAGAGCACCTCCCACCATGAAAGGCACCATATCAAATGTAAAGATTTTTTTGATTATTATAATTTTGGGGGGGGCTGTTATTTGCTGGCATCCTTCTCCTATATTCATGCAAACAAAAAAGAAACATGTACATTGCAGTGATTTTTACAGCCAACATGAAACATTTTTTTTATTAACTCATGGTAACTGAATCATTTCTACATTGTCCAGGTTTTAAGCCTGTACAGAGATATGATCGACTATTGTTACTCTGGTTACATCCTTCAACTACATAACTTGTTCAGACAGTCTGCACCCCCTCCCTCTGCATTTTCTGCAGTGTCAGGTCTGTTACTGTCAGTAGCTCTCTGTTTAAGCGCTCTGAGCCGCTGCCCTGCGTGGAGGGCACTATATAAGTTAAGTGCAAGTAGTTGTTGTAGCGAAACATTTGCAAATGACCTTTGCATTTCAAATCCACTTTACATGGGAAGATTGGTTGTCTTTTGTCAGATTTCTACTTGGATCCCAATTTAAAAGGTAACCCCTGGTATATGGTCTCTATGAGACATATTTAATCACTGGGCACATACAAATGGTTGTCTCTAATGTGCAAGTTTTCTTATTCAAATGGGCAGAACGCCAGAACAGCCAGATACAATAAGGGGCGTAATGGGTTGATGTATCAGGGGAACAGGGAAAATAGAGCAGGTAGAATGCACAGATGCAGCTGTGGATTTACTACTCTATTGCATCGGCTCCAAATTAGTCCTGTAACGAAACAGATCCCTAAGGTGTGTGTGCTGCACGTCGACGCTGATTATACTAGTGACCAGTGGTCAAGACTTCAGTGCATTTTGGATTGAATTCAACTTCTGATTGGCAGAGTAAATGAGATCATACATATCTTTATGGACATTTCAATTGTCCATTTATCAGTAATTATGGCCAATTATCCGAGATGTTGGAGAAATGGGCATTGTGGGTTTCACATATTTGGCAAGTTTAGTGATTCTGGTAAATTTTACAAGTGTAGGTATTTGAGAGTAACGTGCTGGAGTAGAGGTGCTGGTACTACTTTGCGTGTGAACATAAGGAGAGAGGAAGGATAGGAGGGCTTTCAGCCCATCTCATTCATCCTGTTACTAACCTCCTACACAACAGATTTTTGCCACCCGCTTGTCTTGGAGCACAGCCTGCATCCCATTTTCTTGAATGAAGCAGGAATTTGCCTGTTTTTGTTCTGAATGCTTGAAAAAGAGTCCAGCTTCACTGAGCTACAAAGGTAAACCTGCATCAGAAATCACTGCTGCCAAGATGGAGTATGGTAGTTAATCCTTTAGTTCAGCATTTCATCCCCTGACCACATCAATCAGATCCCTCGTCATGTGATCCACAACATATGAAAACAATGTGGTACCCAAATTATGTGTTTGTGTTATTACACACTGGAACTGATGACCAACAGTGACCCTCATTCCCAGCATTTGGGGAATGCTCCCTGTCCTATATCCAATTCCCCAACACACACAATGGCTTTAGAGTTTAAAATCCTGCCTCCAAAACCGATGCTTTTGGTGGATGATATCAGCATCGTATCTATAGTAAAGTTGTGAAGAGCAAATTTAGGATAAATATTTCTTAACAGAGAGGGTAGGTGAAAAACTGAAGAAATAGAGGTCAGGACGCTGAACACATTTAAGAAACAGTTAGTGCTTTAATAGGAAGACAGTAAGGTAAGATGATGTGTGAAATGATGAGATCAAATGGATCAAAGGACCTACTTGATCCGTACCTGTTTTATGATCTTGTAATGAATGCCATAAAATAGCCTTCAGTTAGTCTTTATGTCCTGTACAGCTGGTGCATGACACATGTGACACGGGAGTTAACAGTGATATATAAACATGCCTTGCACTAACAGCAGTAAATGTAAATGAACTGTCAACGTTTACTGTACAAACACTTTGTTTCCAGAGCAGCTTCTCATTATTCAGTCATCAAGTGTAGCAGATAAGACACTTCTGTTTGAGGATATTAGAAGCATTTCCCTTTCTCAGATGGTCTCATTTTGCATATACCGCCTCTGGGTTACATATAGGATTTGTGTCACGTTAGTAGTGTTCAGCCTTCCCTTTTCTGTGGGTGTAATTACCCACATCAATGCAGTGCAGTAAGTGCACAGTTTTGTCTGTAGGGAGATCTGTTATTCAGTTGGATCAATACAGTAGTGTTTCTGTCCATCATGGTACTGAGCTCTTTGCTGATGATTTTGTTACTTGCAACGTCTCTGCCTAGATAAAGGAATTTCTCTACTACTCCGAGAGGTACATTTTCATGCCGTGCTGTGCCAACAAAAATGATCTGTTTCCTTATGGATGATGTTAAGCCCAAGTTATACTGACAGTCTGACACAGATTGAAATCAGTGCTATTCATGGCTTTTTGTGAAATCCCAGTCATTTAGGCTGATGCGGGTAGTGTCAAGAAATAAATAATAATCCTTGTATTTGATACAACGCCTTTCACGTCGGGAGGACATCCTAAAGTGCTTCACAGGGTATACTGCAATGTGTAGTGACTGTAATTTGTAAGCAAACATCAGATGAGACAATGAGGAAGGTTAACATTTCAGATTATTGTCTGAAAGGTTCAGCGGGTGATCGAAGAGTATATTCCTATCAGCATCTGAAACTTTATTGACTGTATTTTTGACTTAAGCCATTAATGGCATCTGAATATTTGTTTGATTGGTTCCATTCAGTGCACAATGTAAAAACCACTGTATTTTCTCCTTTTCAACAGGTCAATTGGGATTGTATTAATCCTAAATATAAGGCAAAAAAGAGACATTATAAGAACTCAGGGGTTGTCATGCTGCTGGACTGTAAGGTAAGACACACCTATGAATTTGAAAAAACCTAGAATAATGCAAGAGATAATCAAATGTCTCTTTCAGATCTAAGGAGTGCAGCTATTAAACGTTGTGAGCAAAAATAGCTGCGGCACCTTTCATGAATACCGTGTGAACATCAATCATGTAGAGCCTGGTATTTCATGAAAACTATCCATGGTTGCTTGATTACTCAATTATAGATATCTTGAAATGGTTGCTTTTATTTCCCCTGGACTAACTTTAAATCTCTATCTTTTTGAAGTTGCACAGGATATATTCCTTTTTAGATTACATAATGGGCGGATGCCAGATTCACTTTACGGTAGGTCATTAGTTACTATTTGAAACCTAATGTGTATTGATGGGCTGTGCTCCAACCTGGGGATTGATTGCCTTTACAGGGGGGGTTTGAGGATTTAGTAAAGCTTTGCTCTGACACTTCCCATTTAGAAGTCTTCAGCCAAATTTTCCTAATTGATTGAAGGCTTCAGAAAGGCAGTTGTGCTGCTTTAGAGTAGAGCCCCTTTACAGCAGTGTGACCCACAGCATTTTTGTGCGTTACATTTTCAACGGTGTGAGGGAATTTCAGTCCCACCTGACACAACAAACTGAGATTTGGTAGCTCTGTTTAGAACTTTCTATGGTGGAAAAAAAATAAAAGTGCTTTTTCGGCGCCTTAAAATACGGCTGAGATCACACTACAGAGATCTTGTTATTCAGATCTGTGATTTGGATCATATAATACCCTGGCTAGCATTCAGCTGGTCCTTATTCTCTGAAGGGTCCTGTAAATCTTCACCCCTTTTCCTTCCTGCTGGATATTTTTTTTGCAGTCAAGAAACATATAAGCACATCTCCTGCGTAATGACTGCAGTGATTTATGTCTGAACAATATCCCTTGTGGACCCCTCTTGTACAATTTAGTGAAGTGTCATTGAGCACTTTTGACCCTTTATTTCAAGAGAAATAATGCGTGTAAATTAAATACCTGACAAAGAAAAAAATCCTTTAAATTATCATTTTAACCACGAAATCAACGAAAGCTGCCCCAACGAGGCTTTGTTTTATAATAATGGGTCAGTGAAGAGATTATATGGTAAAAGTTTCCAACCAGGACATTCAGTTGACAAATTCTGTTTAATTGAATTGTTCATGGAATACTGTACATACAAGATTTAGACTGTAACCTATTGTTTCTGCAGGTGTTTTGCTTGAGTTTTTCTCCTAGTTGCAACCAAATTCACGCCACAGATTGATGGCGTAGACTTGTAATGGTGTGATTATTTCTGAAGAATGTTGTGTGCTTTTATTTAACACGTTCTGCTTTGCCACAAGCTCCTGAAGAAATGTAGCATCCAGAGGCCAATGCTGTTAATAATGAATTACCACGTTCTATTTTAGGTAGCCATTGACTTCACAGCTTCAAATGGAGACCCACGGAACAGCTGTTCTTTGCATTACATCAATCCATACCAGCCCAACGAGTATCTGAAAGCTCTGATCTCTGTCGGTGAGATCTGTCAGGACTATGACAGGTAGTGTTAACCACCCACCACAAAACAACCTCATCCCACAGTCTAGTTAGCTGTAAAAGTGCTCATTAATCTGTGTTGATACTTTTAATAAACAGCAGCATCTCTCTAATATCCTCGGCTTTCATTTGAATTCTAAATAAATTTTGTGTTCAAACCTCTGGATTTCCGACTTTATTTCCTCTTAGTAAGGTTTCTCCTCTGTTTGCATTTGTTTGTGGCAAAAAAAAACCTTTCCAATTAAGAAAAATATACACAATCCCTGTTATTTAAGAATATAACTCTCGAATACAGCCTGTGTAACCTTGCCAAAGAAGAACATACTGTATTGTGTAATGTGATAATTATCATTGGTGGCAATGATCACATTACACACCACTGTTGGTAATATCACAGCACATACTGCAGTCATCCTAGTTGAAGATCTCGCTTCACTTTCCCCAAACTTTCCAAAATATCTTTACCAAACAGGTCTTTGCAGCCTCTCAGCAGGATATTGTTTTTTGCTCCTGCAACCACTTAGGCTGTTACTATCATTGCTCATTTCCTCATGCTCTCCAGAGGAATATTTTACAGTGCCCCTTTAAGTACATGAGTCTGAAGGAATGCCAGATAACATTTACTTAAGGATCTATACGTAAGCTAATGGCATGCTTTTGGATACCCAGTTCCACTCATTGATACATGACTAAACAGACTGAGAGTCCAGAGTGCTCAATCCCAAATCCATATCTGAGAAAGATGCTTTTAAAACAAATCATTAAATAATTAATCAAATATAAATCAGTACAACCTTCTGATTGGATATGGAATACAGAACAAATGTATGTTGAGACAGTAAGGTTGATGTTGTGAAATGATGAGATCAAATGGATCAAAGGGCCTTCTTTATCCGTACCTGTTTTATGATTGTGTAATAAATGACATAAACTAGCCGTCAGTTAGTCTTTATGTCCTGTACAACTGGTGCATGACACATGTGACAACGTAATGTTGAGAAAATTATTAAAAAGGAAATCAGCTAATATTTTGCCTCTCAGGGTAGTAAATGTTGGGGAATCAACTAGGGCTTCGGATCTTATAGTGAAAGAGACATCTAATAAAATAGATGATATTTTGAGATTTTCTACCACTGCTCTGACTTGTAGATTATAATAATCCTTGCATTTGATATAGCGCTTTTCACGTCGGGAGGACGTCCCAAAGCGCTTCACAGAATAGACTGTAAAGTGAATTGACTGTATATTTGTGGGCGAACGCGGCAGCCAATTGCGCACAGCAATGTCCCACAAACAGTCGTAGATTGAAAATGACCAATTTATTATTGTTTTTGTTTTTTGGAGGGATTATTATTAGGCGTGTGGAGTAAGGAAACTTGCCCAAGGTTTCGCCCTGCCTGGAATTGAACTCAGGTCTCTCACTTGCAAAGCGAGTGCTCTAACCACTGAGCTACAGGACTCCACGATTACAATACAAAATTACATTTGTATAGCGCCTTTCAAGTCGGGAGGACGTCCCAAGGCGCTGGGATTCCGCACAGAGTGAGATTGTGTGATATTCCTGGTGTGTGGAGCTGTGAAAGAAAACAAGTGGCTCAATTAGCATCTGTTCTGGACAGATCTGTGTACCTGCGAGTTCCTCATTTACGCCCGTTCTCTTCCTTTTCTTTGTTGCCGCAGCCCTGAGCAAATTCAATTTGCTTGAGTTAAAGGTGGCAGCTTTTTTGCTCTGCTTTGCATTTCAATCAAACTCTTTTTTTCCCTCTCTCTCTCTCTTTCTCTCCTCCCACCTCTAGCGACAAGAAGTTTTCTGCCTTGGGATTCGGAGCTAGAATTCCACCTAATTACGTGGTGAGTAATTGTTTTTGCTCTTTTGATAAACCAAATGGTGTGTAAGTCAGGTCCCTTGTCCTGTTCCTGGTCCCATCTCCTCCCTCGCACCCCAACCCCCTGCTGTGTGCAGCATCTATATCTGCTTCTCTTGCTTTTGCAGATTTGTTCCTCTTTTTTCCCCACTTTGCTCCAAGCTTTTCCACAGCTCTGTGATAAAAGCTGTCTTCTCATGTCCCAGTGGTGCTTCCCAGTCATTGTGCAGTCTCTCTCTTCCCAGCCCAGCTTCGCTGCTGATTCAAACGCATTAAAATCTGTAAAAAAAATGTCAATCTGCTCTGCACTCTCTGCCACACAATCTGTTCTGCCCATCTTTCTTTCCCTTTTTTCTCTGTCCAAAACTGCTGCTTGGCAGAGATTCTATGCTACTTTGCACATGCTCGCTACTCTCCAATTTATTATTTAACTGCATGCTTAAATCTAATTCTGTTTCTACATTTTCATGACATTTGCGCCTACTGGTTATGATTTGCTAATATACAATACTTTGCCTCTGTTGAAACAAAATGAACGGAAGTACAATGGAACTTAATAATAATAATCCTTGCATTTGATATATCACGTCATTGAGACGTCTCCAAAGTGCTTCACAGAATATACTGTAAAGTGAATTGACTGTACATTTTGATAATTTTTCAACCATTCCTGAGGTTTGGTGGGAAATGCAGTGTGTGTGTGTGTGTGTATATAGCAGAGTTTCTGGAGTCTGGTAAGCCTGTAGCATGCTGTTTGCAACTTAGAATTTTTTACCAGTGACTTGAATTAAAACCCAACAGTAACTGAAGCTGCACAAATTTTCAATAAAAAGGCACTAATTTCTGCTAAAATTTCTTTGCCGTCACTACAGTAATAAATGACATTATTGCTTTGTTTAATAAACAATAACAAGCCGACAGGCACTTAAGGCTGATAGACTTCAGTGTTTGGAAATTGGAATGAAAATTAAGCCGCACATTAGCCAGATGCTATCTTCATATCCAGTCTGTAAATGTGATTTTTACTGCTGTGAAAAGAAACTGAATATTTCACACATGAGATATTAAAGGGTTTGGGCTGCAAACTGTGTACGTGTTTATTAATCATGCTTTCCTTCTGATTGCTTTTCCCCCAAGAAAATAAATGAAATCTGTTTTTTAAAGTGTGTTTAGATCATCATTTAGATTAGAATGGGATGCAGTCCCTTGCGAAACAAAAGGGTTTTTAATTCTCGAGAATTCCTGTCTTTTGCAGGTTTCGCACAACTTTGCCATTAACTTCAATTCTGAAGATGATGAATGTGAAGGTAAGTGGAAACATTGCTACATTCATTCCAGAGTCCAAAATATCAATTGGCCCAGGGATAGGTGAGAGCTATCACTAATGGAGCACAGCAAAACATTGGCCCCATTATTCTGGCACTTGTTATTCATTCCTTTTGGTGCTAAAGTGCAAACTGTTGTATATCGGTTGTTGGACAAGGAGTTTTTAAATCAGAATGTTATAAATTTAATGATCTGAATTTAAAAGCAGCTGTACACAACAAAAGAAATCTACTATGGTAGTTGTTCGCAGTTGTCCAGCTATTTATGGTCATTTCGAAGTTGCTCTGCTTTAATTTTGGTTAATTTTATCACTAATTAGAAAGGATTCTTCAGTGCAATGCAAAATTCTTAAATTATTTCTCAGTATAGTTGACATCCCCCTATTCCTCTGTCACTCTGGGACATACACTACGTGAGGGGTGCTATATAAATGCAAGTTGTTGTTGTTGGCATAGATGTCACATGCAATCCTGAGGAAATAAGGATTTTAGGAAGGAAAAAATTGTATAAATCTCTGGCTTCCATTTAGCAGCAGTCAGACTTCCTTACATATCATGCAACAGACTGAATATGTGTATTAGAGTAAGCCAATTCTAACTGCACTCTGGTTTTGTTTAAGGAATACAGGGAGTCGTTCAGTCGTATCAAAGCTGTCTACCCAAAATCCAACTCTATGGGCCAACTAATGTGTCTCCGATAATAGGCAAAGTGGCTAAAGTGGCTGCTGATGAAGAGAAGACCAAAGAAGCATCTGTATGTCTACGTTAAAAAGGGCATGGTATCAGGCAAAAGTGTTTGGTAAAATCATTTCTTTTCACTTATGTTCACTTATGGATTCACAAATCCATCATCTTCAGCACAACCCTTGTGCGTGACTCTCTTCTGACAAAAGATGCCTAACAGTCATATCTCTTCTCCCTCGCTGAATGAAAGAAAGTTTCCCAAATACTTTGTTATGATTTTTTATTTTTTGCTCAGGAGGGTGTCTGACAAATACAGAAACCCATCACCACGACAAGAGCCCTGCTTAACTAATTGCGCAGAGTAATAAGCAAGAGGCAAGGTTTGGCATTATCATGTTACAGCAAGCATTTGAATATAAGACGGTTTAACAATGTAGAGTGGGTGAACGCAGCTATATGAGGCACTTACTACGGAGGCAATGCATCAACACTAGGTGTGCTCTAGCGAACTCGTGATGCTTCGCGATTGTTACCAAGAAAGTACAAAAGCCACTACGATTCCAACGATTTTTATCTGGGGACATGTTTGTCCCGATTCTCTTCTCTTTGCAGAAATACTTCATCCTGCTGATTCTGACGGACGGAGTCGTCACTGACATGGCTGATACGAGGGAGGCAATCGTCAGAGCATCGTACCTTCCAATGTCCATCATCATTGTCGGGGTGGGGAACGCAGATTTCACAGACATGCAGATACTGGATGGAGACGATGGGGTCCTCCGCTCCCCAAAGGGGGAACCTGCCCTCCGAGACATCGTTCAGTTTGTGCCCTTCCGGGAATTTAAAAATGTAAGGCTCAAAGCATCCCACACACCCCGGCACCAATTTCACATGATTTACTTTATTTATTTACACGATTTACAATGACTGTTTGTGGGACGCTGTTGTGCGCAATTGGCTGCTATATACGGTCAATCCACTTTACGATAAATTCTGTGAGGCGCTTTGAGACGTCTCAACAACGCGATGAGGCGCTATATCAAATGCAAGGATTATTAGGATTATCTTCTTCAAAGGACGAAACTGTTTAGGTCAGAAGAGCAACGTCCAAATACTTTTGTTGCAAATGGAGGGTGGGGGGTGTGTGGGCGTGGAAACAGTTTTTCCCATAGAAAGTAGTATAAAAATTCTCCGGTGTAGTTACTCACTCTGCTGTGATTGCTACAGGGCAGCCATGTTATAATGAGTGCCCTTTCCCTCCTCCCTCTGGTTTAGCTCAGATTCACTTATAGCATTGGAACCGGCTTCCCTCACTGACCAGCCAGCTTTTCTGTGCTAAAAAGTGCCCAACTTCCAGGTTGTCAGGTTGTTGCTGATATCATGGTTAAATGGTGTGCGGAGCAAGCATTGCTGATGTTACATCCTGTGCACTGGGCATGCTTTTTATTTGCTGTTTGAAAGAAATTAATGCTCAGAAGCAGTTGCGTGGTCCATTAAAGTATTTTTCTGTGTTCCAGGCGTCTCCGGCAGCTTTGGCAAAATGCGTCTTAGCAGAGGTTCCAAAGCAAGTTGTGGAATATTACAGTTACAAGGCTATTCCTCCAAAATGCCCAATACTGGACTCCTCGGGTTCCGCGTGTACCACACCTGAATAAACTGACTGAGCTGTTCAAGTCTCCAAAGAGATAAAGATATGAAGAAGCTAAAAAGAAATTTACGTCGTGTAACTGATTTTTTTTTCACATGCAATTTCTCCCATTTTTTTCAGGAAATAATTCACTCAGCAGTTTTCACACACGTGGTTTTTAAAAATAAACATGTTCCACCCATCGTCGTGATCAACCGTTGCAGAAATCCTCGACACTGGAAGGTGAAACTGGTGACTTGCTCCCAATGAGAGACATCAGAATGTCAGTGCTTCCTGTGTTGATGGGTTGAACAGCATTGACAGCTTGGAGCGGGTGAGGCTGTAAATACAGCGTGGGGTTAGCCACAGGATGCATTGCCTCGAGTACAGCAGAGAAATGTCGCAAGGGGAATGTGTTTCTTTGTATAAAGGTGAAAGGTAATTAAAACCACTGCAAAGAAAACAACACGCCTGAAGCTAAAACAGGGAACCAGTTCAACAAAGTCAAACTTAATATTAATAATAATAATAATTTTTGATATAGCAACTTTTACTTTGGGAGGGCGCATCTCAAAGCACTTCACGAAAATTACTGTGAAGTGGAGTGACTGTGTATTTTATCTCTTCAGAGCCAGTGTAAAGAAGCTGGTCAGAACCCAGTATTTTAAGACGTCCATTTACGCTGCAACTGTGCTTACAGTGTGGACTGTTTGTAGGACTTTTCAGATTTACTTTCCTTCTTCAAACATTTTGTTTGATTGTTGATAAATCACAATAATGTTGCATTGATCCCAGCAATGTGAAAACATTACCCTGAGGGAGTGAGGTGATGCAATTCTGTTTCTAAGGATATATCTGTCTTGTAACTCTGGTGGAGTTTGAGTGCTGCAATCCATCAGGGGGAAACAGATTAGGTTCAGTCAGGAGAACGAAATAAACAAGTGGACACAGGGAGGCTTGTGATGAATTTGTGTGTTCTTCTGGTCACACCATGTCTAATATAGCAAAGGATGGGCAAGACACTTCTTGCATTTCAGTGATCTCTGCAAAAATCACCATTATAACCTTTAATTCCTATTATTATCTTATGTCCGCGTGTGGGGGTGTGTGTAGGGGTTAGTGTGCGATCTTGTACGTGTTTGTGTGTGAGTGGGGATGGGGGTGAAAGATGTTCCCTACTCTTGCCAAAGGTAGAATATTAAACACCCAAGCAAATGCTTGAGTTTAACTTCCAGATTTGGCCAAACTTTAGGCACTGGGACCCACAATGAGTTTCTTTCACCACTTCTCAAGGGAGATCCTCATTGAAGTAGTTGATACTAGTGTAACGCTCCCATTGGGGTGGGAAGGAGAAAGTAATCCATTGTAAAATGGGAAACTGTCCATCCTAATCCCCATTCCATGCTTTCCCCCTGTTTCCTCTCCTGTTCTTGTCTAACATCAATAAACCAAAGTCAAAATCAATAGATTAACCTGAATAAGGCAGAAATAATTGCAACAGGAAGACATTAAAATGTGCTTTAATACACAATGTAAAGATAATGAAAAAAATCCCAGAAAGCAATCAATTATTTTTAAATTGACTACGTCAAATTGGGCTAAATGAAGATGTAATCTACAGCATTTGGCATCCGTAGTTCACAAAAGAAACTAAAGAAGTAAAGCAACGCCTTTGAAATGATGCATTTAATTATATACTGATCATCATTATTCATAAGTGGTGTTGTAATTGTTGTGATCAAAGCTGTCTTCAGATGTGCTCATACCCACATTACAATGGGTGTAAAAATACACCTAAACGTGTTACCGACCAGAATCAAATCCATGCAGGCCAACTTGTCATTTTAAACCCTTAAATAATTGTGACAGATTGTACAGATCGTAGAGATTGGCTGAGTTCCTGTATATTGGCTAAATTACAAAATTGTTTGTGTTTCTTTTTTATTCCTTTCCATTTCCATTTTACTTCAAAAAGGAATTGGATAAGTACACGTTGGAGACAATATTGGGGAATGAAAAGGAACAGATATAGTCTGAGATGAAAAAACAACAATAACAACTAGGATTTATACAGTGCCTTCACCCCAGGATAGCATCTCAGAGCGCCTCATTGAGGCAGGTTTGGACACCGAGCAATATTTCTTGAGGCAAGAAGATTCCTCTGCTGTTAAGGCTGGGAGGGAAGTAGTGGAATGTTGTCTGTGATGGGAAGGAGGAGAAGTTTGTGGGGTATGAATACATTTCCTGGAGTTTTTCCTTGATTGGCTTTACAGGGTTTGCTGAGGTGAATTGTCCTTTCTTGCCCTGTGTTTGCTTGTTCTGATCTGTGGTGGTCTTTTAACTTCCATTCGTTGTCCAACTGGTTAAAACAAGGGCAGGACTGGAGTGTCAAACACAAATTGATTACAAGTACCATCAAAAGCCACAAATACACCCATTAGCTAAATACTCTGAACATGTTTTCAGCTTTGCTTGATGTTTTACACTTGCACAACATGGCTGGTGCTGCAGTTTACTGCAGATTTCCAGGTCCAGCGCCTTGGGACGTCCTCCCGACGTGAAAGGTGCTATACAAATGTAATTTTGTTGTTGTTGATTTTAATAGAAGGTGCAAGAGAAACTCTTTTGCACCAGGCAGCTGGACCAAGATCAAGTGAAATACTATACAGTACTTACCGTCAATTTTAATATAAAATCGTACAGTGCACATTAAGTGATTGCATTAAATATAAACGTGAATTCTACATAGTTAAGTGAACAGTATTTCTACTTACGCTAGATCTTGCTTTTTTTTTTAGCCAGGTAGAATTCTCTAGGTTATCTCTTATACTGTATATAAATGCATCCTCGCATCATCTTCTCTTTGGCATTCCCACTCTTGTGAGGAAACAAATCCTATTACAGCAATTTAAAAATCTAGCAGCTGCTTTCTTTTGGTCATGTTTATGAGGCAGAAATCTTGTGGGACTGCTTCACAATGAGTTGTGATCTATGGCAGATGAGGATATCACTCCTACATGATTGGACTGGTCTGCAAACTACTGCACGGCTTTATATCAGCAGTTGGGGATGAAGAAAATACTGTGCTCAAAATTCCGAGTACTTGGCTGGGTAGAACTGGTTCAAAAAAAATTACCTTTGGTTTTGGGCATTCATCATGGCTAAATATAGGCTGTATTATGATTAACATGCACCGAACTTTGTTGTTGCTGTATACGCTAGCTTAGTCTTTAGATTACACAAAATAGATTGGTTTGAAGTCTGTCAGAGACGTGTATAGACAATAATGTTGCTCTCAATCTGAATGACATGGTTTCTGCTGATAAATGTTGTCATTGGCATTTTTCTACTCTTATTGTAAAATAGGAAATTTTGAGAATGCTAAAACAATAATCTTAACCCACGAAGGGTTCCCTTGCAGCGATGTCACAGTTGCTGATTTATATGTTTTGTATGATTCTTGACGAAGGGTTCTCTTATAGATTATGCCGAGTGATGTTATTGTAATCCATTCCTAACAGGGAAATGATGGTTTGATTTGCATTGAGCTGCTGATGTGTGCAGTGGTTTAATGCAGATGTTACCAGTAGGTAATCAACTCTGCCACAGACGCTGAGCTCCCAACAGCAAGACATCCGTGCTTCAAACATTCAAGATTCATTTTTCTCCATTAACAAATTTTGTTTATTCTTTGGCTAATGCTTAATATAAAAAGAAAAACGAGCTAGAAAAACAGCTGGTAGTCAGATCAAATTACAGTGTCTTCTGAGCCGGTTCATGCAGAAGCATCCTATCTCGCACTTATTTCACCTGTTTACTTCCTTCAACCCATAAGACAAAGCAGTGTGAATAAAACGCATTAGTAACTCCTCCAAAATTGCAAAGGACATTTAAGCCAGTTGCACACTGCACCATCATGGCAGACACTTTCACAATCTCCACTTGCGCACATCCTGGATATAAAAGGAATGATGGGGGGAGTGGGAGTTTGGTGTTGTTCACCTAAAGATACTCTTCCCAATGTCCTGAACTATAAACACCTCTGTGCACTAAAACTGCTGTGCATTTTATGCTTGGAGACGATACGTTTTATAAAATTAGGTATTTCTAGGTTTGTAACTTGAGGCCAACGCATATTCTTTAAGTTGTCCACATGGCTATTAAAGTAGCATTTGGGATCTAAAATGTTGAGCTAATATCTATGTTCAAATGCTGTTAATTATATAGTGAAACGACAAAAAGAATCACCAGCGATAGCTTTCCTTGTTGGTTAATTAGCTGTTACCCCAGTCCACATTTTAGGTTCTGATTATGGCCATGTGCCTATTAAGTTGTCAATAACATATATATTTGTCTGAATTCCAATGCAGATTAGCCATTGGAATGAACAGTTTCACACGAGGAAAGCACATAGTCATGTGAAACGTTGGGCAAGTTTCCTTACTCCACACTCCTCCGTTCACCAAGCAGTAAGTAGGAACCCGGTTGTTAGTCGTTTGGTGGATCACTTTTCCAGGGGTAAAATTTCCTTCAAAAAAAATTTGATCGCTTCAATCCATAACTGTTTGTGGGACACTGCTGTGATCATTTTGTCTGAGAGCTTCTCCGAATTATGGAAAATTCTTAAAGTTTGCCTTAATCTGGAAGCTTCCCCCCGCCTACCCCTCCCAATCAAATTGGCTTTATGGTCTAAGACCGGGTGGAATTTCAAGCTTTCTGAGTGGCAGGCAACTATAATGATCTGAATTGATTAGATTAGGAATCTTTTCACTCTCAGAGAGGTTAGGGGATGGATTGCCGTGCCGGGAACAGTGTATGTGGCAGATTCCATTTTAGCTTTCAAAAGGGAGCTGGACAGATATGTAAAAAAGGAATAAGTTACAGGAGTATTGGGGAAGGGCGGGTAAATGGGACTGAAAATAGTTGCTCTACGAAACAGCTGGCACAGACATGATGGGCCCAAAGCCCTTCTTCTGTTCTGTGCTGTAAATTTCTATCGTTCTGTGGTTCTGAGAAATTTATCAGTGCAACAGCAAACTTGATATATAAAAGAAGG